AAATTTGCAGATGCAGATACTTAGGAATTTTTACATCATCAAAAGCCTGACATATGAAAGTGTAAAAATCTTCATAAACAATAAGGAAAACTTGAAAAAAAAATTTTGACATTTTGAAATGGAAAAGTGTCACTTATTCGTGAAAATGCCTTATATGAATATGGCAGAGAATCTATACATGACCTGTAACCAGACAGGAGCATGTTCATATTGCGCCAACAGGGCTGTTGTGATTGTAAATGGAATGAAACAGATCATTAAAACACCATACACCCAGGCAATCATTTTCGTAAGCTTGAAGTTTTTTGTGCTTGTACTGTTTGACATGGACAACTCCTGCGCCTGTATTTGTTTATGTTGTTTCCATGCAGCAATGAATATGTAAGCATATGCTAGTGTACTCAGTGTGAGGACACTTAGGACGTGAACTGTCAGCAAGAGGAAAGTTTTTCTGTATACAACTGCCCATAAGCAAAGATCGCCATAATGATATTGATAATTCGCTTTCATTATAATTACACATGCTATAATATATCCCCATATTATGCTAATCAGCACTTTAATGTTACGATCTGTGAACCATTTCGAATGAAAATATGGTCTTGCTATTGAGATTAACCGATCTATGGTGACAAGTAGAAAATTGACAAGTGATGAAAGAGCACCTAATGTGATCATTGGGAGACAGATCATACAGGAAATCCTTTCTGCTTCCAAGCTTCCATTGTAATAAACAAAGTTTGGAGCATAGAATCTAAAAGCACAAGTCAGTAATGCAACACCTAGGGTCAGGTCAGCGCATGATAGACTCAGAATAAACTTGTTTGCATTCACTCGTTGTAAATGTCTGAATTTTGCGATGCAGATAATCGTAAGTGTGTTTGTTGTCACTATGAGAACTGCTACTATCATACATACTGTTACTATGACACCAACGAGATCAGGGTGGTCACGGTCCATTGATGGTACAGTTGTCCCTAATGGAGATACTGTTTTGTTGTAATTAAAATTATCCATTATATCCATTATATAATGTCAGGGTGGTCTCAGTCCATTGATGATAGAATTGCTCCATCTGCCTTAATGGAGATATTGTCTCTTGGATCACCTTATATTCCTTAGAACAACATGGATATCCATTCTACCTCTTCAGTATTATTCCATTAAAGTAATGAGCTTGTTTTATTAATTTCTAGTAGAGATATCTATTATACTTTATCAATGTGGCCAAATTGAAGCTAGAGTTCTGTCTTGTTTTAATTTCCATTGCATTTATATTTCAACAATAACAAGTTCATAATAGTTGTTCAGATTTATTCATTTATTGTTATAGATAATTAGTTCCTACATTTCAATTAGTATACTATTATGTTGTCTAGTACTGATATGTCATCATATATGACATCAAAGGGTCAATATTCAGTGAATATGATATCTAAATTGCAGTGCTTTTTCCTTTCTTTTAATATCATTATTTCTTGTTTTTTCTTTTCTTTTTTAAATTGTTCACATCAGCATAAGCCAATACTCTTATTGTATAATATTACATCATTTTGTAAATTGAACACTGCATTTTTATGATAGAATTAAAATCATGGCTATAAATGGCAAAAATACTTTGTTATCTAAAAGGTTCAGCTACTATAGATACTGATTGTTTCCAATATTATCATCATTTTTGACCTTCAATTTAGCATGTTCTGGTATACATTATATTGCTTATTTAATCCCTGCGATTTTAATTATACAGTATTGAATCCTTTGCTTCATCAGCTGTCATCTTTGTAAATAGGATGTAATTGGTTTGAAAGTGTGTCTTACATATCCTAAAATAGTCTGAAATGTTGTCACGCCATTCATTATAATTAGTGTCTGTCACATATTTTCTTTATTATAATTTTGTGTCATACGTATATCCTGCTCATGATCTTGTGTCATATATGCTTGTGTCATATATGCTTGTGTCATGTATCCTGTTGTGACTTTTTACTTTTTATTTAATGATATAACAAATGGGGAATGTGAATATTGAAACATTCCACTAGGCCTAGTCAGTTTAGAACGATGTGGTACATAATATGTCCCTAATCAGTGCTTCTTATCTGTTCTTTTTGATTTAGTGCAGATTAAATTTTGTGTTGTTGATAATGAAATAAAAATACCTTTTTATTGCTATTACTTGATTTATGACTTAACTAAGTGTCAGTCCATGCAAGTAGGTACAATATCTGGACATTTGTTTGAACAACGTTTCACTTATTAACGCTGTGTTGACTCTGAGAGTCAAGGTCAAGAGAATCTCCCCAAATCAATTACATTAAAATTAAGCTGTAATTGTCTAACTGCAATGGTTCTCTAAAGAATTGTTCATCTCAACTAATTGGATTTCGATGTCTTATTGTAAAGTTGCAATAATTGCCTTTGAGATATTCAGAGGAACTGGTTATGAGTCTGTATAATGAAAATAATATTAATCATTGGATATGATCTTACAATATGATTGAATGTAATCATTTATTAGATGGTTATACCTCATATTTATTGCTATATTGCTTATTTTATGCAATTTCTTGCAGATTTTGAAAATCTGAAGCTTTCATATGTGTTTGTTTTATATATCCCTTCTTTATTTACCTCAGTGTTTTACTTATTTTGTATTTCAAAATGTGATAAATTAATTATTTACTTTGGATACTAATAAGGTATAGTACTATCTAACCTCCTCTAAAGAATCCAGAGTGTTCCATAACTCTAATAGATTTATAGAATTAGATGCAACTCTTTTGGTGTCTGCATGGTTTCTTTTCTTATTGCATGAGTAGATGGGACTCAAAGACAAACACCATACCAAAGATTAAAGCTGAATTATGTCAAAAATTGTTAAGGAAAAGATACAACTTGCAATTTAAGTATTCAGCTATTTGACTCTTTCTGACCTTCTGAAATTCAATTAGAAATTTCAGACCTATGTTAAATTACGGAAGTAGATTTTTATTGTTGAAATATATCTTGCTTTGTTATGACAAGCTTTTCTTATATGATACAAAATGTCTAATATAAATGTAATTTTTGATAATATCTTATGTGCAAGGGATCTTTACTCAAGGAAGCATTTTTAAATATGGTTGCTTTTTTCAAATAACCACTATTTTTCATAAAAAATAACTCAAATACCAGCTGACAGCTCTGGTTCAAACGTTATATACTAATGCTCAAGAGAAGAGTCAAATGACAAGGTATTTATTAATATTTATTAAAATATCTTTGTTATGTGGGATTTTTACTCTTTGAAGTTGCTATTATCTAGTTGTTGTTTTTTTTGGTATCAGTCTTCATTTTCAAAGTACTACTAGTATAGTATTTCTTGTTATATATTGGGATTTGCAACACTGGAGTTGCTGTTTGCTAGTTTGCCCATAGGTAGAACCAGTGGAGTGGATACAAATGTGATATTAGTTAATGGAAAATGATTGGATTGGATAGAGTGCATTCGATCATATTGAAAAAGAGATGAATGAAATTAGCAAAAGTGGATGGAATTAATTAAAGTAATAGCATGTCTATTTATGTTGGCTTCACTTTATACAGTTATGTTACTGAAATCATTTTCTATGACTTTCAACTTTTCAAAAAAGTGTGGACCAAATCTCCATTGATACAATGTTAAAAATCTTTAAACTCATCCCTTCAACAACCCAAATTTTCATAATTAATCACATATGTATATTAACAGGATCATATATTGTATAGCATTCAAGTTTTAGACAGATTCAGCCAACACTTATCACTCAATAAATCATGAAACTAAGTGACTATTGCAAGTTTTTAACATTGGAGCAAATCTGTGGAACAAACCAGGTTGTTGGTAAATGAGAAGAATAGCATTTACATAGGTCAGTACTTTATTTAAGCACATCTATTCAGTGAATATCAGTTTTGATTGAAGATGGGTTGATCATGGATTGTTATGAGCAAAAGTAAATGCACATTGATTTAAGCATTTATATTTTGAATATCAGTTTTGTTTACCATTGGTTTAATAATAAGGATTGATAATAAAAACAGCATTAAAGAAGTGAAAAAACAACAATACGTATTAAAGATCAATCATTATAATCTTTTAGCATATATGCTATTAACAGATTGTGAATCAATTATTGCATCATTTATGGCACCTGTGATATTGTTATTATATTAATCATGTCACTTCACCCTCTTATAGATTGTGATGATGTTACAGTAAAACTTATTGAGTTGAACGCCTCAATAAGTGGAACACTATTTCCAAAGTCAATTGTTACACACTATTATTTTATATTTGTCCAAGTTTTAGCTATTTGAATCTTGCATACGCTTTCTATTGTAAATTTTCATATGGGAACATGAAATGCCGGAAGGCGATTTGCCCCAACCCTGCCTATTCATTGTATATTTGTTTGTATTTATGAAATAAACCTATTGATATTCATAACGTCTTTTACTTAAGTATTTATTGTGTTGTGTCAATGTCCTAGTTGCTAAAGCAATTTTGGTTTCTCACTCATTTATTGGAGCCTTTGGATGTATATACTCATGACTGATTCACTTTTCACTAACCAAATGTAAATGTAACATACAGATAAAATATTTGGATACAAATCAACCTCATTTTTGGCAAAAATGATGAAAAATCTTTAGTGTGTTGGAACTCCAATTTGAATTGTACAATGTATGTATATGTTTTATTACAGTGTGAGCATTCAAATACTTTGGGTATTAAGAAAATGGTTGTCTCATATAGCAATGACTCTACTGCAATATGCAGATTGGTCACAAATAATATGGATTGTGTCAAATTGCTGAATCCATTTTTGGCCCACCATTTAAGTCATCTTTTTCACATGTTTTGTGGATCCTCCTAATAGTTTGTGTCCATAATATATGAGAAAGTGCATATACACTTAAACCATAAATGAATCTTTTAAACTGAAATACATATTTTATATTTCTTCTATTTTAAGCTCCAAGAGTACAAGACTCGCATGCAAGAAACTCAGCAAGACCTTCAACGTCAACTACAAGCTTCAAAGAAGGAGGCAAAGGACTCCCAGGATGCATTTGAGCGCTATAAAGATGAAATGTCAGATCTTGCGGAGACTGTGGAAATGGCGGCTCTGGATAAAGAGATGGCTGAAGAAAAGGTAGAGTTGCATTTTTATTATTTAGATTTTAAGAAGTAACTTTCATCTATGATTTTTTCTAAATAGATTATCACGCCCGGTGATCGTAAAAATGGGACGGAGGGGGGAGCAAGCAATTTCTGGTAGACAATGTACAAATCTGCAAAAATTATTTCTTCAAGAAAAGGTTAATGATTTAATTGCTAAACGAATAGGCGCACGGTATGGTAAAATATGTCACGTATTCTACGAATTTTTTCTAGCCGATCCTCTTCTTAGGTATAAGATCTATTAAAAAAGGCGCAACGCCACCAACGTGCAAAAGTCAATGTTTTTGCTTTAAATCAAGCATCAACGGTCTACACAACCTGCAATAAATATTTGTAAGTGACATTATCATCATAAAATTAATGACCTTAATGACTTTACAAAATATGTTTCCATACGTTGTATAAAAAATAATCGAAATAATTAAAATGGGACGGAGGGGGGGGGAGGGGACGGAGGGGGGGGGAGCAATATGTCTATAAGATATGATATGAGATGTTACTTGATACTTTATATCCAGATTTTCATTGATTATGAATGCTTCTGAATATGATATAATATGTGGATGATAAGATGATTCTCAACCTTTTTCAAAATATGTTTAGTATTTCTTATTGTATTTTATTTATAGTGTGGCTTTTCCAAATATGAGGAGGTTTGATTCATATTCCATATATGGTAATCATAAATGTATGATTGTTTTCTGAATACAGTTGTCATTTTCCAGGCTGAGACTTTACAAGTGGAGGTTGAGACCCTGAAAGAACGCTGTGAGGAACTCAATGTTGATATGGAAATCATGAAGAATGAGATGGCTGAACCAAGTATGTCTTAGATTTTACCTTTTTAGATTCTGCATTGTTTATATTTCAACAAGAATCAAAAAATAACAACACTATTTTGAAGGGTGAAGATGAGTAATGTTCAGATCTCTCATAATGGTCCTTATTTTACTCATATTTCATTGTTGACATGTAAATAATGGAGTAAATTAGCATGTTCCAGGGACCATGTTAGTGCTGTCACCTTTCTCAGAGTGGATACAGAGCAGAGTCATCTGTTAAATAACACATTCATTGAGTACACTTCTTTGTGATCAGAATGTCATTGTTTCAAACTCAATTTAATGTAAAAGTTTTCTATTTGTATATGTTTGTGATGTTGCATATTGCCTGTAGCATAGCTCCTTATATCAATATCATATTAATGCATCGAGTGTGTGTTCTGTAGGTGATGGGGCATATTGCCTGTAGCATAGCTCCTTATATCAATATCACATAAATGCATTGAGTGTTTGTTCTGTAGGTGATGGGGCAGCTAATTCTTACCAAGTGAAACAACTCGAACAGCAGAATGAGCGTCTAAAAGAGGCCCTTGTCAAGTCAGTAAACTTTGTATTTATATAGTTTCCACACTTTATTATATATGCCACCATCATGAAGTATTGACATATTGTTAGAACTTTTGGTTTTTGTAACTGGAATGGGGCATCAGTGTTGTCATCAGCTTTGAAATTTGGCATTTGTTAGAATTGTTAGACTTCTGTAATTTCTAATTTCAGAATAGAACATAACATAAAAATATATTTTGACATCTTTTTGACTGAAAGTACAAAAATTAGACCCTCTTGTGCTTGCATTTTTCCTGACTTATTTTGTGATCTTGGTTAGCTAACATCGGCATAATTTTTTTCAGATATGGAAAAAACATAGTATTGATAACTACAAAATATTGGCTGATATATTTACATAGCAATTCACATGTGAGAATCTGAATTTAAAAAGATTAAACCAAACAAGAACTAAGGAAGAACTGAACAAATAATCATAACTCTTTTAATTGTTTACAGATTGAGGGATCTGTCTAACAATGAAAAGCATGAGAATCAGAGTTTGAACAAGCAGTTAGAACAAATTAAGGCTGAGAATAAAACTCTAGCTAAAGACAAGGAAAAACTTGCAGCTGAAGTAATGGAGCTGCAAAATGAGGCCATAGACCTAAAAGAACAGGTAAAAGCTGCTGGACAAATAAACCATTTTTCCATATTTTATTGATAGATTCATTTGAATTCAATTTCAGTTACATTGGGAGGCTATATCTTAAATGTATTGAAGATTGATCTGGGATAATATATTATCTGGATGCTAGTATTGCATGAATTGTGATGATTAAATTCATGGATTTTATGTAATGATACTATCTATTTCTGGCTCTATCAGGTAATGTAATACATTTACAAATTGGTTTATTTATCAATTTCCTCCTCATTAAGTTCACCAATATGCTGAGTGAAGTGCCATTAGTTTCCAATTTCACCACCAGTTTGCTAACCAGGGTCAGATGGCAATTCTTGGTTGACATGCAAAAAGGTGAATGAAAGTGATCAGATTCTGTGAATCCCTTTTCATCTCACTTTCTATTCAATAAATCATATTTCACTTTTCATGATTTTTTTACTATAATATAACTATTTGTAGACCTTAGGAGTCACATTTTCAAAAAGATTGAATTTCAAAAAATTGCATGTAGTTATTTCAAATACAAGATCTCCTTATCAAAATATTTCTTTTTGCATCTAGTCTGTTGTAATAGACAAACAAGGAACTTGCATCAAGTATTTTACTTAAACCCACTATTCCTCTTTGAGATTTGTATGTATGTTTGTATGTACATATTTATTGCCCATTATATAAAGGAGATACAATACATGTATTGTGTATTAGTATTGCCTTGATGCAACATAAGAATAAAACATAATGCAATATTTGATTGAATTGAAAGATATCATAATTTTAATTCTGCACCCAGCTGTACCATAAGGTAGGTTCTGGGTTTAACATAGGACATAACTGTTGGATGAATGGACTGTTGCAAAATATAGGTGAAAGTGATTACAAACAAAGAAAAGGGATTTTATAAATATTGGCTTTTGAGGCTTTACTATGGTTGTAAAGTACATGTAAGCTACTGTGTCTATATTATTCAGGCTTTCTGTCAAAATCTTTTGAATGTTTTCTTTGTTTTCTCTGAAGAGCAACTAATTCTTGCAAATGGAAAATAGGGTTTTTTCTTCCACAACTTTCTATGTAATTTCTGGCTCTGAAAATTTTTACATGTCACTGTGAATTAATAAACACAAAAAAATATTTGTTTTGGGAATGCATGGTGTCCTATTATGCCATCAAAAGCCAATTTCATTTTTGTTTACCCCAACTGTATATTTATCAGCTTCTCTTCATTTGAATTCTTCAACAAAATAAAATAAAATCCACTCCCAGGAATCTATTCCCTTCAGTAGCAAGATAAACTACATTTTTCAAAGCTGTTGTTATTAGGACACCTTCCTTTATGAATAAATCATTTTTTAATAAAATGGATAAGAAGATTTATAAGGAGTTATTTGGATCTTAAAACAAGCAACACGCTGACACTTTTAAATAAAAAGAGAGACGGATAAATATTATCCATCTTCTTTCTACAAAAATAATTGACTGCATTTCAGGTTGATGCTGCACTTGGTGCTGAGGAAATGGTTGAACGTCTAACAGAACAGAACCTTGCTATGGAGGAGCAAATCCAAAGTTTAGAGGAGGAGAAAACTGACTTGGTATGTCTCATATAAAGGCCAATATGTTTGTGATCTTTACAGCCTGTTGTTAAACTGTTGACATAGGAGAGACATTCTTGAGTTAAAAGATATGTAATATAACATTAACATTGTGTTACTTTGGTTACTAAATCATAACTATTTAAATGTATGTTGCTATGGTTATTTATTATTTACACTGTGTTGCTATGGTGTTAACAGGAACAACTGCATGAGATGAATGAGGAACTGCAGGAGAATGCACGCCATGAGGAGTTAGAATTAAGGGAAGAGGTTGATCTTGCAAATTCCAAATTTAGAGAGGTAAAGAATTTCTGAATTTGTTTAACTCATCATTTGTATACAAGTTTTACTTATTTTATTTCTAATTTAATGTTGACATAAAATCTGTCTAACTCTGATGATTTTTCTATGGAGAAGGCCTAGTGTTTAAACAGTTTGATTTTGTCAATAAAGAGGCTAAATTTTTTATCTAATTTGAAATCAAAACATGCTTAATACACCCACACTGTGTAATTATGGCACCGTATGGTACTGTATATGACACAGTACGATACATTACCTTTTGAGTATGGTACAGTAAAGTACCATATTTTTACGGTATTGTAGCCAAAACAGTACCACAAGGTACTGTTAGAGATTTGCTGTGAATAAATAAACCAATGGATCAAAATGCCTTATGTGAATAATGGAGAAAAGAATGATCGTTGTCTTTGCAGAGTCAACGCAAGCTAGAGGCTGTTGGAGAGACTATAGCCGATTATGAGAATACTGTCTCTAAGTTCCGTGACCTTGTGGCACAACTTCAGGAAAGTAACCGGGAATTACGAAGCCGGGCAGCTGAGACAGAACATAAAGGAGATACACCAACTATGGAGGCATTTGATTTCAAAACAAAGTTTGCAGAGACAAAGGCATATGCAAAAGTATGTGGGTTCACAAATCATGATAATCCATGGCATCTCATTTCATCTCAGCTTTGAGATGCCATGATATAATGAGCTTGATTTGGCGATCAAAGAGAGCCCAAAATTGAGGATTTTTGAGATCTTTCGTCCCAGCTCATATTTCATCTAATTGGGGTCATAAAACTTGTGTACCTGTGCCTGTTCTAATATCTGCTGTTAAATACAATGCCTATTATGTAATGTATTGACATTAAGGAAAATGATTGCATGATATTATCACACTTATTGACAGTTATAACTTCCCATCTGATGTGCTCAGATCATAGATTATCCTACACTTAGTGTACTAAATGTATAATAACATTAAAAAATAAATTTGATATTTATTGGCAAAATGAATATCTGGAGGATATCGTTACGATATACTCCGGGCGGAGGATATCGTGACGATATCCTCCGGAAAACCCAATATACGGAGGATATTGTGACGATATACTCCGCTAGATGATTTCCCACCAAATTGACTCTATTTGGCATGAAATTCATTTTACAATGATATTATACATTCAGTACACTCCTTGTAAGTGTAGGATAATAAGAACATCCTATGATTTTTTTCAGAATATCATTTTAATCTACTCGGTGATATTGATATATGCACTCGCTCGCTTTGCTCTCTCGTGCAGATATCAATATCACCTCGTAGATAAAAATGATATTCCTCAAAATCATAGGATATCCTATAAATATGCCTCATAATATCAGAGCATGTTTTAAGTGAAACAGAAAGATGCTATGAGTATCCAGTATCAGAATGGGGTTCACAAACCTGCAATAGTTTTTTCAACAATTACATTATGTGGGAATAATTTATCTTTTTTGACTACATGCACTTTGATTTTATGCTATGCTTTTTACAATTAAGTAGAATTTGTTAAACTTAATTCTACATTATGAGGTCCATGTGGAATAAACTTCATATGCAAATTTATTATGTAAACTACATAAAGCTTTGTTTGCAGGCCATTGACATGGAACTGAGAAAGCTTGATGTCGACCAGTGCAATAAACATGTTGATCTCCTCAAATCATTCATGCCAGAAAATTTCTTACGCCGTGGCTCAGACCATGATGCATTGCTGCTGTACCTGTTGATCCCACGACTGCAGTGCAAGGCAGAACTTCTTGCCCGTCAAGCTCGAGAAAAGTTCAGTCCGGAGGAGACCATTGAGCGTGCTGATGTCGTCAAAAGTAGTCGTAGCGAACAGTTTAGTTTTGCTAATGGATTCATTCACCAACTAGCTGTACTAGGGACCATTCTAGGAGAATATAAAAGGTAGGTAAACAGTAAAAAATGTCACCTATTACTTGAAAACAACTTCTTAGAATTTATTCAAAATAATTCAGTATGATGGGGCAAAGTCCATGTAATAAAAATTTATAGTTCATTTTTTAAGAAAATCAAAATTATTGTAAATGACAACTAAATATGATATTGCAATAATTGCAGTGTTCACTCAGTATTTGCATTGTATTGCTATGGTGGCCTAATGTTCATATTTATATGATTTTAGTGCTCTGGATAGTTGTAGTCCAGATCTGTTTGTGAAGATAGGCACATTGCTTCCTGAGATTGCAGTACATGAGAAGTCTGTAGACTACTACATAGACCTACTACGCAATGATAGACTTGATGAAAATGTCAGTCTAGAAGCTCTGGAAAAGTCAATAGCATACTTCCAGGTATGTGAAATCAGTTGCAAATTCCATTTGCTTTGAATGTCTTTATTTATGATTACTTATCTCAAAATTTGAATGAAGTGTCTATTTTTCTGACATTTCTATACTATCTAGAGAATTGAATTTGTGCTAGTTCACTTCATTATTTGTTAATTCCTGTATTTCCCTCTCTATTTTATAATTGAAAACATGACTATGAAGACCTTATATGCCTCCATATAACTTGATATGTTTATTGTTACAGCACCTATACAATGTACACCTGGCACAAGAGACAAGTGACTGTACTCTGCTCATGGCAGACCAGTCCAGGGTCTTACTGGCTGCATGTGACTGCATCAGTATGGACATTACAAGATTAAAGCTGCTTCTTCAGGTTTGTATCATGAGATAATTTTGATATCTTCCTTGGTGTAGTAAAATGTTTAGATGAACTGTATACCTGGCAACAATTGTCAATTATCTTATAGAGGTCCATGGATGAACCCTGGGAGATGTCCTCATTTTTCAAGTTAACACTGGCAAAAGTACATCAGTGTCCATAATGGAAAAGTAAATTTTTAAATTATAATCTGCTGTACATAAACATGTATAAAATAGTAGACTTCCACTTAAATAATCTTTATATACTATTCCTATGTGAATGTCATCCAGGGAGGCCAGGAGACCAGTGATATATGTATCCTGTTACGAGAACTTGAGAGTCAAAACAATGCAACGAAAGTGGCAGCACGCAAGATAAAGCGACGCACGCCCCAGCCAGGATCTAGCGGAACCAATCCACTCTCATTCAGCAAAGAGGTACTTGATTTTATTGGTCTTACAGATTAACATAAATTGGAGGATGGTATTTTATTTTATTGACAAAGGGTATTTAAATTACATGTGTATTAAATGGGGTTGCTTATAAATGGGAGGGCAAATTGACTCAGTAATTTAGCTTACTATATAGCATTTTAAAATGAACATATTATAAGTAGAAGTTTGAACATTTCTTGCCCCATGGAAGCCCAACACTCAGTACAGGGTGTCAAAAAACAACGGCACCCCCCTCTACAGCAAAAAGTACTTAATGCTACATAGTGTGTCGTATCTCATTTTAAAGACAATTTAATTCTAGAGTTACCTGAGAAATTTCAGCTTTATATCATATAATTTTACAGATTTACAGCTGATTCTTAGTAGTTGGTATGACCACCAGTTGCTGTTCAAACAGCAGCTTATCTGGACGGATATGATTTCAATAAAAATTCACAAAAAGGTGTAGCATTGCATAATCCTCTTCGCATTTCCCTCACATTCTTCAGAAATACATCCTTATACTGTATCTTTTTTAAGAGGCTCTTTGTCCATCAGTTCCTATACCCTGTTTTTCAGAAATGAACCCATATGTTCAGTGCAGCTGAGATATGTAATATGTTTTATATGACAAATTAAATGTTTTTCAATTCTACAGGTGGAGGAATCATTAACTTTGGCAAGCAAAAACTTGGAAAATATCGTAAAAAGTTTACAGTTTATAGCTAAAGGTGGTGCCAAGCAAGCTGCATTACTAACAGGTCAGTGTAACAATCAGTTCTCTTTTACTCTTCCTTATATTTCACATTTAGGTTACCTTTATTCATTTTATAGTACACTCATTCACCTACAGCAAAGGGGTTGTCTTTCAGTCCTACCTCTGCTGCAGATGGCAAATAGAAATGTTGGGTTTTAACAAAAATCAAGTCTAGAAAGACTGGTAAAATAAACAGAAAATCATAAGATCTTTTAGAAAATCCTAATGGAAGGATTCTTTTCATTTTGTTTATGAATGCAATTATAACCTCCCCATAACAAAGCACTTGCATATGGATATGGCATTTGAATGAAATAAATGCATTGGAGATAAGATGTTGCAAAAATTCAATTGTAATCATTAAGCTCAATAAAACGATTTACACCCCCATTGTGCGAGTATTTATTACAGTGTACTATAGAGTGTTCATGTGCATTCATTATTATTTGTGAAAACTCATGCATGAAGCAAATGTATAATAATATCGTTGTGTAACATCCATGTATACTTCTAAGTTCCTCATTTTTATGTCACCAACAGAAGTGGTGACATAGTCTCCAACTTTTTTTGGACAGTGTTTGGTGTTTGTCAGTAAGTGTATGGTGTTTGGTGTTTGTCAGTAAGTGTATGGTGGTTGATGTTTGACATTCAGTGGTTGGTGCCATGGCAGGTGGTAATATTTTGCATTTTAATGCTTTCATTTTTTTATATTGCACTCAAAAATGATTTCATATATTCGGTCTTATGCATGTTTAAATATCTATGTTGATGTTTTTTAGTGAATATTTAGCTAAATCTGAATGTAAGCCCCAATAATGTATCGTGCTTCTACTGTTTTAGAATATGGCATTTTATTTTTATTGTAAACTTGCGCATTTAGTTAATGCCAGTTATGCTATATCTATTTCAGGGGAGAAAGAACTAAAAGGTTTGATATGATATTTGTATTTTTGTATGTTTAGGCTATACAGTACTAGTTTTTCAGCTTTATGTTACAGCTCTACCATATTGCTTAGTTTGGCTTCTAATATGACCTACTGACCAAGGGAAACAAAGTGCCATGGCCAATATATACCTCAAAAGCTCATTCTATTAAATCATGCCACATTACATTTGATATGACACAAGTGGTCTACTGACATCAGTAGTTTTAAAACCTTACTAGTTTTGACTTATGATATCAAGAATCTAACCACTGTACTTCAATTAGTTTTCTTTTATCACAAGAGTGTAAGAAGGCAGATTTTACTGTTTACAGGAAAGGGTTTTGAGATGTAGGCTAGGTACTTGATTCATTGACATATTATGTATAGATAGGTACCTGTTGTCAATTTGGGTTTATAGAGGAATTTAATATTATTAGCATTTTTATAAAGAACCTGGTACCTTTTGGCATGTTCAGTAGGGTGCCCTCAGTAGTTGCCAGTGAGTTTTGCAGATACATGTCTGCATGTAGTTATATTTTGTTTCCCATGATTCATTTTGATTAATGTATCTGTGCAGTAGTTTAGTTTTTATCTACAAACTATATCTTGATCTTTATAACTTTAATTGTTAAATCTTATAGATACACCTTCTTTCTGGTTTTAAAGCTTTATGATATACAATGTACAACATCTTTTTTTAAATAATGTTATTACTGTACATTATGCAAAGAATGGATCATGGAATGCTGATGAACTTATTACTTATAACCCTTGTAATGTCCAGCATAATGCTTGTACTAATACTGTAGCTTTGAGGAGGTTGGTTAATGCCCTTCGTGAAAGAACTTATTAAATTAATTCATTCAGATTGTTATAAATAAATTATTAGAAAAAGCAAATGAGTAATTTATCCAGAGATGTGTAAATGTAAAATCAAGTCCTTATAATTCTGGGATTTGAACTTTAGGATTTGAAAAATTAACCAAAAATGACATTCATTAAGGTTTGTGAGGCTGTCTTAATACGTATATGTACTAACATTTCCAAAGAAATACGTATGGGTTGGGAATGCATACAGGCATAAGACTTGAATTTGGTGAAGCATTAACTAATAGTTTACTAAATCCAAAAATACTAATAAAAGCAAACTAACTTGTATTAGGGTCAGGGAACAGTAATTGTGTGGTCTTGGTGTTATAATACTATAAAGACATTATTTTTTAGTAGAAGTTGTATTTTACAATTTGTATATCTGTGGTACAAGACATTTTGTTTTTGAGTGAGTTTTTTAAAGTTTATTATGGAGAGAATAAAAAACTATTGAATGAAAAATTATGTGAGAAGACCTCTCTTTTCATATGACTGCCTTATGTGAATCTGTTTAACACATGATTAAAAATAAATTAACTCAACGTTCTAACTGAGGATATTGCATTTTTACAGAAGGGGAAGGTGTAGCTCCAAAGAAGATGGAGGAGTTAGCCTTCCATGCCACTGATGTTGTTTATGGCAAAGATGATGATGGCCCATTCAACTCATTAAGGTATGTGAATATTAATGGCTCAGAATCTTTTTAAGATTCACTTATTTCAGTTATGGACTTGTTGCCATGCTTTTTTGGGTACTTGCTGAGATAACAGATTCACTTATAAAGTCACTGGCCACTGTCTTCAGGGCATGTCCTGATAAGTCAAGTCATGCTTTTAATATATATATCTGATTTATGCATTCAGTACTAATCTACTTGTTTTAAGATATTGCCATATATAATATATATATAACATGGCATATTTCAAGTTTATATGTTTTAATCCATTCTTGAATTTAGAGCCTCATTCAAAGTGGCAGCCAGTGCAATATCTAGTATAGCAGAGGCCATGGAGAATGGGGAGTATGACTTTGATGGCACACATGCTAAGAAAGCAGTGCCACCTATTGTTGCAAGGGGGAATGCTGTAAGGGGCGAACTGTCAGATGTGGAACATGTCAAGTTCAGACTTGAGGCTAAGGACGAAGATATCAAAGAGTTGAAGAAATTGCTTAAATTGAAGGTTAGATTTTCTCCTAAAATGGAATGCTTTCAACTAACACATTATCACATTTCTGCATTTATATGTATGGAATTGAAGGATGTAGAGGGATTTGAGAAATTCAATGAATGAATGATAATGATCATATCACCATAATTTGACATATTTTATTATACCTAAATAAGCTTGGTGAGTGATGGATGGCAGCATCACACTTTTCCTGTTTGCTTAGTTAAAATTGTCTCTTCCAGCAAGAAGAGTTGAGTGAACAGCAGGTTCGTGTTGGACTCATCGAGAGAAAGTTAGAAAACTCTGGGAAAGATAGTGATGATCGTGTGGAAAAAGTCCAACGGAAACTTGATGAAGCAAATCTTATGTTAAAGAAGAAAGAAAAGTAAGTCATCTGAGTGCAGTGATATAATACAAGTATTTCATAAATGTCTGCTGGAAATTTGCTTTCTGCTCATGCATGTTTTCTCGTATCTGATGCCACATCTCCAAAGAATGATTGAAGTTCCAGTTTCAATTTCTTAACAATTTAGAATTTGGACCTTTCCCTTTGTTAATTCCCTTCCTTTCTTGTACATTTATGTTTTTTCAAATCAGGGAGTTTTTAGAAACTGAGGAAGTTTTAAGAAGTGACCTTGATGACCTACAGATAGACAAGATGTCGCTCCAGAACAAACTAAAAATGTTTAACTTGGAGTATTCCAGAGAACCAGGTTATATTGGCTCACCCTGTAGTAGCCTTGCTAAATTGGTTTAGGACACCCTGTAAACTTATCACGGTTTTAGCCATAATTCAAAGGAGCTATAAAATGGAAGAGAGGCGTATTAGGATTTCATCCTTTTACATCCCCTTCCGGTCATTTATACCTTGAAGATAAGTCATACATATTGGTAAATGCTTTGTATAACTATAACAAGCATAGAATATGACGGGCATAATGTATTGTAATGTATATAGCGTTAGATGCATGGTATCATTGTGTAATAATAGCATTTAATTGTAGGGTTAAATATTTGAAAGTTCACATGTTTAATGAAATCCCCCGAAAACCTACTCATGGGATGAGTTGACTTTTAAACATCTCAATCTACCTAATAAAGATATAAATTCACAAACAAACAACTATTTTCAAATATGAAAATGTGTCATATTTTAGGTAAAATCAATTTCAAATAAATTCCAGGACTGTTAAAATTCAAGGCCCCTGATGTTAAGTGTGACTTATACTATACATCTAAATGTTCCTCATTGTCTCACTACCCTATCCAGTAAGTGGCATTACATGAGATATCCTCAATGTATATGGATTATAAAACATGTGATCTTTTTTTTTGTGCAGGTGTACATGGTATTGGACATCATCCATGAACAAAATGTCAATCGGGTCACATATCTTTTCTCTCCGAATTTTTCTTTCAAATTTGAATGAACAGTTGAATTTTATGACATTTCTTTGTAATTTACACTTAATGTCTGTTTATTTTATTCCTTGGTAATTCCTCTTTTTCTTAAACTATTTTCATTTGAAAGCATGACCACTATGACACTTTTTCATGGATCATCATTCATAACATTATAAACTTGAATCATCCCTTAATGTTAACGCTTTCAGAGAATTCGATGAAACATTTGATGCACTTCAATCAGATATTGATTCTCTGGAGAATGAAAAGTCGGAACTGAAAGAGAGGCTGAAGATGTTAAGCAAAAAGGCTTTAATTGAGGGTCTCACCCAGAAGTCTGCTGGGATTAGTGCTTCGCCAGGTGGGCTTTATTAAGGGAACATCTGTTTTGGTCGTCGCAACTGATTTTCTGTGTACTCAATTCAGATTCATATTGTTAATACAATATTTTATACATATTATAAATTTCTAACCCTCTATTTCAAAAAATATATAGCAAAGATATGTAGAAAAGTAGATATATGATCTCCCCAGCATTAAAGCAAGTGTGCGCACCCTTATAAAAAAAAACCCATTTTTTCCGAAATTCAATGGTTTCATTGCATATCATGTAACCATCATTTCAACCTTGAAGATCAAAGGGAAAATCATTATATCAACCATTCAAAACCATTGCGCAACCATTACTTCACCCAATCTTTTCAACCCTTTTTACATAAAGTTGCAATGGTTACGCAACCATTTTTGAGAAACCATTGCAAAACCATTACAACCATTACCCATTGAAATTAACAGTTACAATTGATTGCAACCATTGATGGAGAACTGCAACTATTGCAACCATTAATCCTCAAAATGAATGCTCATGGGCAGACCTGTAGCCAGCTTTTGCACTTTTGAAAAATTTACAAGGGTATTCATATTTTATAACTATGGCCAAAAATTGGCCAAAATCGCTTGAAAAGTCCTCAATATGGTGAAAAACTGCATGAATTTGAAATAATTTTTGGCTATGGCTATGTTGATATTATTAGTATGTTTTTTTTATTTTTAAGTAAGCATGTCTGTAGTCTGCAGTCTATCACACTCTTCTCTCATTAAAGAATTTTTTTGGACTTTGTGTGTCTCGGATCTTGTTCTCAATGACAAGTCTGACGTCACTTCCAGAACAACAAAAAACATACACTTATTTGTATATATCATTTAATCTAATCCCTAGGATTTTAAACACTTATTTCTATGACTATTGCAATCACTTATCAGGTATCATTTTTAAGGAGAATGAAAAATGCAGAAATCTTGTGTGTAGTTTAACAAAATCATTACATGTACAAATTAATTCTTTTTTTAAGAATTATTTTTGTCTGAATAATTTATTTTTGAATTCCCCCTACCATAATAATGACACAATCATAGTAAATTAGATGAGATTCACATTAAGATTTTTGAAGCCAGCTATGGTCTTGATGAATTCTCTTTTTTTCTAGCGATAGTTAACTTAAGTTCATAATACAATTTTGAGACATATCCAACTTCAAGTTCATGCTCATAGGCATAAAACCATGTTTAGTAAAAGGAAATATCATCTATTCAAGTGTTTAAGATATTTCCCTTTCAGTCATTATGATTAAAGTTTAATCCAATAGTAATTAATATTTTTTGATTTGTAAATGATATTGAAGAAAAGACAATCAATCCGGCTCTTGCCTAATCCAAAGCATAAATACAAGGATGTTGATGTTTCAAAATCATGTTTTGGAAACATTTTCAGTTTAATCTACTTAATTGTTTCAATAAGACTTCTTTGATATTGAAGAAGCAGTTATTTTGGCACTAGCTTAATCCAAATCATAAATAAGAGGCAGGAAATACAGTCTTTGATGTTTCATAATATGTATGTATGTACTTTTAGTCAGAAACATTTTTTTGTTGAGACAGGAGAAAAACAGAAAATTTCCACAGAATGTTTTGTTGTATTGTTCACTAAAACTGAATGAATCAAGAAGGAATTTCCAAATAAACTACAAGAATAACCAGGGCCAAAAATGAATACACTTGATTCTCTTCAATAAAATAGAAATACTATCTCTAAGAACATGAACTTGAAGTAATATTCAGTACCAAAAATGAATAAACCTTATTCTCTTCAATTGATTAGAAATAATATGCCCATAAACATGAACTACTGTATTTTGAAACATAATAATGCATTCAATTTACTTGTATGTTCCTAATGTTTCAAATTGTCTCATTCTTAAACTAAATAATTTCCACAATATGGTTGAAAATAGTTGCAACCATTTGGTAAAATGCAACTTAAACAATCAATGGTTTGTAATGGTTGCAAATGATTCCATAATTTCAATGATATGCAACCAAAGTTTTCAACCAAATTTTAATGGTTGCAATGTAATGGTTGGAAACCATTTCAATTGGTTGCAGCAATGGTTATGCAATGATTTGTAATGGTTGCGCAATGGATTTTAACAGTTGAAATTCGGAAAAAATGGTTGTTTTTTCCTAAGGGCAGCACCCACATGAGATTTTGAAAATAGGCTTGCACCCACCTGAAAATCCATTTGCACCCACTTGAAAATGAGAAGAATCATGAAATATTGGCATATTTTGACCAATTTTGGTCTGAATTGTGAAAGAGAATTTTGCACCCACCTGAGAAAATATCCTGGGTAGATCAATGAGTATAGATAACAAGACGGACTTCCAAGACAATTGACGAAAGCCTAATATATAGAGGATATCCTATAATTTATGAGTGATATGATTTTTATCCACGAATGGTTATGATATCTGCACGAGCGAGGTTAGCGAGAGAGTGCAGATACCAATATCCATGAGTGGATTAAAATCATATCACGAGTAAATCATAGGATGTTCTTTTTATTCCATAGTTAAAGTCATCATCAGAATTGTCGGAAATTAAGTTATTTAATTCGAATTTTGCAAACGATCCGGCGATGTTGACACTTAGCCTCGTTTTGAGTCTAAAGTAGCAAAAATCCATTAACCATCGCATACGACGTCGTATGTCATGGCTAAAAAACCGTATGCTATGGTTAAGTGAAAATTTGTCAAAAATATCATATTTTACCACTGATTACAAAAATACCGTTTTTATTTTCACATGTTATCCAATGAATATCATGCTAACTATGGAATAAAAGGGTAATATGATATGAAAATCTCCCCTATCAGCCTATATACTGAGTATATAATATAAAAGCTAGCTTATGTAGATTTATTCATCATTATTCATTAGTTAAAGCTTAAAATAGTTTTTACAGTTAATGACATTCAGTATATAATGCAGATACAACTGGGCACTAGGCCTGTATGAAATTGATTAATTTCAATTGATTGAAGCAATTAATGTCAGGAAAATTATCTTCAAAACATATACAGAAATTCACATTCAACTCTCTTTGAATATGAGTTCCTTTCCCGTAGTAAAGTGTGATCTTTCTTATAGGTGGCGCCGTAACTCCTCCCAGTCCCGGTGGTTCTCCAGTTAGGACGATTGTTGGGGATTCCCCACTGTTACTACAACAAATCTCATCCCTAAGGGAGGCCCTCAAATTTGTCAAACATGAGAATATTCGACTGAAGGGAGAGAAAATGAAAGTAAGTATGTTATGCCACCTCAAGTATTCATTTCAAAACTGTTTCAGAAAATGACACATATTTTTATATCACACAGATGAAACATGAAATAATTTCAGACAGTAAATTTCAGAGGGTAAAGTTATTTCTCATCTGCATGCATAACGATTCAGATAGTTGAGACATTTTTGTTACAAAAGATTTAATAAGATATACTTTATTTCTGAGGAAATACAGTGTAGCCTGAATCTATCCATTCTTTAAACACTACTTTTCATGACCTCCTAATAATGTCCATTCCAGGTAAAGCTGGCTGGTCTGCCAGATCTGCAGGTGCCAAAGAAACCCACTGGACTGAAGAGCAATACAGGATTCATTCCATTAGGGGAACTACCAGTGGAAATACAGGGTGGCCAGGATCTACAAAAACTTTCCAAGCAAACTAACTCTCTGATGAATGTAAGTTAAAAAAGGGTATGGTTGGCATTTGGCGTTTTGAGTTTGGCATCTGTAACAAATGGCAGGTGGTGACATTTTGCATATTGTTTGCCTTGTATTACTTTGTTAAAGTACTAGGTATAGTAGTAAAGCTGTACTAAATACCACACTGTTTTATAAAAATATTAGTGTGTAACCATGGTAACTAAATAACTAGGTAACTAAGTAAGCTACACATATACCAGTATAAGAATATTTGAACATGTCAGACATCCTCTGTGTTCTATAAAACAAACTAAATTGTATGCTTCTTATTATATGCATATTTCACTAACAGGAGGTGTGTAGGTTGAGCTGTACTCCAATGGTAGTTGACATCACAAAGCGTCGCCAGGCAACAGTACCTGCCATAGAAAAGGCCAGCCCTGCTTCCCAGCTGATCCAGTCCGCATCAGAAGTGATACGTCTCCAGAAGCAGGCTGATGAGGTATGGCGTAATGTAAAAAGATATAAAAAAAGTTTAATGTCTAAATAACAAATGGCCTAGTTGGAACAAAATTATTATATACAGTCAATATGGTACAACGAAAATGGGACTTCTGCGCATGTTAACATTTTTCGTCAAAACTCAACTTTTGTTCAAGTTGATACGATTGTCTTTCGAACTAGAGACTTACCTCATTCGAAAGATCATAAAAGACTTTATCTATACTGAAAATCTTAGATCCAAACATAGTAGAATACGCCGTCAGTCCGCATTTGATTTTTTGAAGTGAGTTTCGTAGATCGTCAGATTTCTCCGACTGATATCGGGTTATCTCAAACTGGTTCGTTTATAAATACGAATTTGTTTACCGTTATAAGGCGCATGCGCAAAATTGATTTATAAACCTTATTGGTTGATGGTTTTTCTCCTGCGCATGCGTGAAGTCTGATGAACACTTATGACGAAGACCAGAGCAAACATTACTAGCTCTTGAACGAAATTCCAAGATTCAGGTCATTTCGCCGTGTTTGCTAAGCGTGTATACGTGAATGACAAGCTGTTTTGAGTAGATCGGGTACCTGTTTTAGACACAACATTGATTTAGCTTGACATTGATGTGCACATTGGCACTTTTGAGCATGTTAATACAAGTTTTTACACTCTTAGCACGAGACGGGTTTTCGAAAAATCTGTTATCTGATTCACTCGATTATCGTATGGATATGTATTTCTGCTGACATTTCAACACCACATCACATAGAATTAAGATGCAGAATGATAATAAAACACAAAACAACTACTAAATTCCACTTGTTATTTCACAGGAGGTAAAAATGCAAACTGCCTAGATTCTTTGTAAGGGTCGTCAGACATCGGATTGGCCGCCATATTTGAAATGAAAATATCACTAAATAAAGGTCTGCGCATGCCTCAACATTTCGACTGTATATCGTATATTTAAATGTTGACCCTGTAAATAGTAACGATTAAATGTTTAATGCATTATTAAAGATAAAACAAGGTCTGCATAAAAATTTGATCAGCACATAAAGCATTTCTTCCAGTATAATGTACTTCTAAAACGTCATGCTTGTAACCTGTACACATGATATATTTATTAGTATTTACCTCTATATGTTAATACATGTATTGTGATAATTGTGTTTTATTCCAGTTGCAAGTGAAGATTACAACAATGTTAGCACAGACAAGGAATGGAGGCCAAGTTAAGGCTGATTTCTCAAGCTTCCCTTCTCCTGCATACTCCAAGGTAAATTGTGAATCTAGATCATGTGATCATATATAACGGAGTGCCAGAAGAACACTCAAAGTATTCAAGGTGTTCATAAGCAGATTGCAAAAGGTTGTAAGAATACTACCTAAACAGGTATCTGAGATTAAAATATTGATAAGTACTAATTTACCTTTGAGAGGAGTAATATACACCTTATCCTTATTTGATTCAATATCCTTCTATGCTTGCTTTGTAAGTGCCATGTATTGATTAAAAAATGTTGATCCTAACCAAGTTGGGATTTGTACTTAAATCAATATTTCACATAACTAATTTACACCACATTATTTCAGGTGCTAGAAGAAAGGACCAAGGATACTCAACTTGTAGGACGTATAAGGATACCTGCAGAACAAGGCAAGGGTGGAGATGTAATCCCTGTCCTGCTCCAACCAGACCAGTTGAGACGAATACACTCCCAGTTTGTTAGCTGAGACACTTAAAGAACATTATATACTAAATATAGCCTGGTGGTCATGTTTTGCTTGAATGCTTTAAAGTAATCAGTTGTTAGTCTTACAATTTCGAACAATTGCAGTTGTATTGGCAAACATCATTAATCTATGGAGTAAATTATATAGGAGCCACCCACAATGAATGCATTGCTACGGTACTGGGCAGAATTCAAAAGTAATCTACAAATTATATGCTCTTCTTCCCAAAATATGTTTACTTTCATGTCAACATGACTCTAACCCTGGATATGATTTTGCTTATGTACAAAAATATGAATTTAGGGTTTGGAGGAGTTTTATCCTTCCCATCATGCCTTGCTTATACTGCAGTTCAGTAAAGAAATACTCTCAAGTCTTGGCTTCAAGTTTATTTATTGCCATATTATAGAAGCATGTCCACTTTTGGCATTTTAATGGCAGTTCTCTGCAATTTGTTATTATTTATTATTAAAATCATAACTAATTATGAACAGTGCACTCAAGGTGTCTAGTATAATCTTACATACATAATATATATAGTGGACTAGTAAAAAAGTAGATATTTGCCAAATGATAAAAAATGTCATATTAGATGTCGTAATGTGAAAACATGCATGCATGGCAAATAAGATGCATAATACATGTAATAGGGCTGTAATAGGTACCATCTCATATTTTACAAATTTTATTGGAAACTTACTTCTTAGGGATCAATAAATTTTCGTACACACATATTTTTACCCTTTGCATTCGTTTGACTTCACTTCTTAAATTAAAAGAGAGCTTCGTCTTCACTCTTTCAAACTAAAATAAACCTGTGAACTCACCGCGTCAATCAGTGTTCGTCAGCCAAATTTGACGACGTTCTATATATGGTCATTCCTTCTGACGTCATCGTTGAGCCCGGAATTGACCAATGACATGCGCATATTTAATTAGAACGCATTTGGCGTATGTTTGTTCAAGCTCGCTGAATGGTGGAAGAAAGGTCAGTGCATAGGTCAGAAGTGATTTATTACCCAAACTGTCACCGGTACCCGTCGTGGGGGCGGGGCTACTAAACTGTATAATATGGTCTCTACTAGGCAGAGTGTAGTTTAACTAGACTCTGCACGCAGGGTAACATATTTTTAAAAGGGGTCAAATGTCTATTACCATTTATAAGGATTGAAACATTGGCCAAATCAATTTCTGAAAATAACAACACAGAGCATACTGGTATTTCATATTTCTTTCACATAGGGATTAGATTCAATTAAATTCTGTACTTAGGCACTTGTAAAGTAATTGTTTTTGTATTATGTAACCACAAATACATATACTTTGCTATGATAGTTGAGCCTTCAGAGTCTCTTCACATGCAAACCTCTCCCTCCCTTCAATCTAAGGATTCAAAGAGGGTTAAACCTGCATGTTTATATTATGTATTTATTATTATGTTTATATCCCTCAAATAATTTGGACATTATGTGAGTATTGGCAAATTGTAACACTTACAAACACCACACACCAGCTATAATGAGCATCGTGATCAATGTTCAACCAGTCATACTTAAAGGTGCACGCTTATGAAAAAACAATTGAGCCTGAAGTCGACAAAAAACATATTTGATGTATTTATTATTTGAATGAAGAAAATTACTTGAATTCACTTTCAAAATGGTGCTTTAATGCTTTAATTTCCAAAATAGATCCATATTTGGTTTGATCATATTGTACGTGTAGCTACTTTCTTTAGATTAAAAGTTCCATTTCTCCTTAGTTTTGCAACATCTAAATTACTTATAATGTTGTTTGCTTCAGTAGAATGCTTAAGCAATTTGCGCTGGAGTCAACACAATTATTTGTATTGAGACCATCGTTGTGTCAATGCAACTCCAAGACTATTCACCAGGTCTTTGTGTGTTATCCAAGCCAAAAGCATAATCTTTGAGGAGCTTTCATATTTTGTCCAATTTTCGAAAGTATATTTGAGGGACATAAAATGGGTTATTCAAATATGTGGTGGAAATAGTTGAAGCCTTGCTGAAATGTATTTAAGTTGTGTTTGCAACAATAAAATATGCTTATGATACAAACATCTTTGTTATTATTGAAGTGAATGATGGAGTGCTCATTAAGAGGTGCTTACATTAAGAGGTCAAGGCCAGGTATCATGGAGACCCACCTGTGGATTACCAAAAATAGGGAACTGAAATAATAAATACTAAAAGAATGTGTTCCGCTAAATGGCCTTTGCTGTATTCATATCAATGGATGAACTTGGCCTACTTTCTATATTTTGGAAAAACCATTGCTTGGTGTGTTGTCAGAACCTCAACCTCTTAATCAGATTTGAACTTCTGAGAACTTGTAGATGATTTTGAAAAAAAATTGTCAATTTGAAGCAAGTTGAAAAAATACCTTTTTAACCTTGAGAAACCATACCACTTTTGGTGGGGACATAACTACATTATTAAAATTGCATAGTAGTCATGCCTCAAGGGCAAGATGGGCGATGGCATACCCCTTATTGCATAGCTGTCGCCTCGGCCATGATACGGCTGTAAGCTCACTACGAGGTATTGTTAGTAGCCATGAAAAGTGTATTAAAAACAAAAACAAAAAACTGTCTGAAACATCTACATTATACAGGATAATAATTTAGATATGGGTTCCCACACTTATGTTGATACAGACAGATGGCTATGGTTAGGCACGAAGAGTATATTAATATTGTTCCCTAATTAGCTAAAAGTAATATTTATTACAAATACTTACTGGTATAAACAAGTAACATAATGCTTAAATGTTCTGCTTTATTAGACAAAAATCTTATTTATTAGTGATACAAAATCTCATGAAAGTAATATAAAATATACAACCAAATAATACAAAGATCCTGGAAAATAAATGTTTGAATTACTGATATGATCATAAACAAGCCATTAACATGACAAAATGTCACCACCTAATTGCTCACAATATTATGAATCTCAAAATAGGTCAAATCTCACAGATTTGAACTTCCAAGAACTCGTGGATGATTTTGTCGTTGAAGGTCGAATCTAAAATTTAAAGTCCGATTTTAATTTCTGAGAACTTGTAGATGATTTTGAAAAATTGGTCAATTTGAAGCAAGTTGAAAAAATACCTTTTTGACCTTGAGAAGGCCATTGAAAGTCAAGTCTCTAGTCAGATTTGAACTTCTGGGAACTCGTGGATGATTTTGAAAAAAATTTAATCAATTTGAAGCAAGTTGAAAAAAGCATTTTGACCTTTTTTTTACCTTGAAAAGGTCATTAAAGGTCAAAACTTAAATCTAATGTCAGATTTGAACTTCTGAAAACTTGTAGATGATTTTGAAAAAAATTGAAGTCAGTCTAAACAGTATTTGTTTAGATATTGGAAGTTGTAGGAATTTGTTACAGTCACCAACCACCAGCCACCGATTGCCGTCATTAAAATGGAGACCATAACAATATATCACCACTTTTTGGTGGTGACATAATGATAGAGCAAAGACGAGAATTATTGCATAACTCACAAAATCATAAATGGTACAAAAATGTTGTGAAACAAATGGTTGCATAGCTGCATTAATCATGAATGGTAACACTGTATAAATCATGAATCTGCACAGTCACAATGTAATATTTATCATCTACGCTTCCCTTCAATAAACATTTGAGATCATTGTAGTATCATGCAACCATACTTAAAGATATCTCAAGTAATGGCGAATTCCTGCTCTAGGCAGCCATTTTGAAATTTCTTTGGCACAAATCAGAAAAAACGATACCATATTTCTGTTCTACTCTAAAATTCCTTCAATTTGAGTATAATATGGCCATACTTTTAAAGGATCAGAAAATTATTGCGAAATCCCACATTAATTGGGCATTTTGAATTGTACAATACAATATTTGCACTCTGCTCTAAATTGCCGTTCATTTGAGTATAATGAAGCTATACACGTACTTCAAAAACATCTTAAAATTAACGCAAATTTCTGTTTTCCCATGGTTATTCACGGCCCCTGGGGGTCAGGGTGAAAAACACGGAATATATGAGAAAAAGATATATTTTGTGAATATACTACCAACATTTCAAATAATAATATTTATTACTTTGGTTTAAAATGAAAAAAATAATATTTTTTGTGAAAAACTTCCGTCATTTCTAAAGCGGCGGCCGTCTTGAAATATTTTTTTGCGTAAAACTATTCACCAATAAACATCTTTCCGACAAATAGGGAGAAATTCTGTCAACTAGTATTCGAGTTACCTTCCGAACGGACGGACAGAGGGAAGGCTTCACTTTATACCCTACCAAACTTTGTTCATTGGGATAATTATTGCATCACTTGAAACTAATAAATCATAAATCATGAATGGTACAAAGATCTTGTGAAATAAAATTATTGCATCACTTGATACTAGTAAATCATAAATCATGAAATGGTACAAAGATTGTAAAATAAATTATTATACAAGTATCACAAACTTAAAAACTTATACTGTAAGTGGCAGAGATCTTGTAAAACAAATGCTTATATCACTTATGATAAATGGTAATAAGATCTTAACAAATGGCTACATCACTGACTTAATTGCACATACTAAATGGTACAAATATCTTGAAAAAAACATGTTTGTCTCACTGACTAAAAATAGTACACAGACATTGGAAAACAAATTCTTGCATCACCAACTACAAATGGTATAAATGTAACAAATAAACAAACAGCTGAGTAAACAAATGGTTACATTGTCAACTAAATTGTACAAAGATTTTTTACAAAATGGATGCAATGTCTATATGGAATGGAACAAAAACATATTGCATATCACAATGATACAAATGCTATATACAAGTAAAGTGAGAATGGGTGACTATCTCATTCTACCACAAACACTGGAAAGTATAATATTTCCATACTGTTGTTTTATAAATCATATCTAGAAATAAAGTTAACTTGTTATAAAGTCAATTAATTGATTCAAAATTATACATGAGATTCTCATGATTTCACAATCAGTAATGTTAAGACATAATTTTGCCATCAATACTAAGTATCTTATATGTTATTTTTAAAATATTGTTCAGAGATCATAACTTTGAGCAGACTTATAAAACTTTTATGTCTCTGCTTTGAGAGATTCTTTCAAACTTGTTACATGTATCTCAAGGGCAATCCTCAGATGATTGGTCATTCTTCTTATAGCTTCTCCAATATAGGCCAATCAAACTATCAGAAGATGAAGTTTAACTTTTGATGGTTAGGAAACTGGGTTCTTCACATTTTGTGTTTAGTGCACTTGGTTTGTGTTTGATTATTTTCTCACATGGGTTTCCCATTTTTGGGGAATTTCGTTTTAGATATATTGATTGGGGCATTTGGTTCACCTCCATTGATTGTGACAATTGGTGAGACACTTGTATTGAAGGGAACACTTGGTTTGATATACAGTACTGTAATTTCCCTTGTCATGCCCCTCTATATTGTCATGCCCCTTTATATGTAGATCTCCTGAGGCTTGATTGGCTACTAGAGCTGCAGAGCTTGCATAGGAATATTTGGTCGACGTAGGGATGTTGGTCTTGGAGGCACTTCAGGTAAGATACGAATGTGAAGTTTAGAGTCAAATGAGACCCTTTTAGATGGCGAAGGAGAGTTGGGGTGTCTCAAAATTGAACGGGAATTGTGTCTGTGCCTTGTAATTGGCTCATTATTTATGACTGACACAGCAGTTGGGTTTGACCAACCAGTAGTCTTGTCAGGTTTTGACACTGCAGCAGAATTTGACACACCAGAAGAAAAAAACACCCCAGAACATTTTGGAATATCAGTTGGACTAGACACATCCATTGTTAAAAACGCTTCATTTAATGAAATTTCAGAAAATTCTTCATTCAATGAGGTCTCATCTCCAGTAGCCACATAGAGGGAGGGAGACTCAGCTGGAAGGGGCTTTACTTCATGGTTAAGAGAACCAACTGCTGACAGAGGCTCATTACTTGGAGGGTTCATGCTTTCCATATCATCTTTACTTCTCAGTGGTATTTCCTCACATCGATCTTGTGGTTCATCAAAGCTATCTGAGTCTTTGGAAGATAGCATTATGGGAATGTTAAGTGATATCTTATTGTCCTCCTTTGGTGTATTTGACTCAGAGTTGAGATTATTTCTATTGCTTTGAAGCTCAGAGACGCCATTTGGAGATGTCATTTCCATGACATTGCTATTGTTTTCTTTCATAATGTCAGGATATATTTCATCGGGTGAGAGTTGTTTGTGTTCACGAGCCTCAATGATACGTTGAATGTACCTTCCAAGAAGTCCATTTGTCTTCTCTTGTTTTGGTCGTTCATGACAGGGCTGTTCGTACTCCTTTCCCAAGTGTTTCAAGTATCGACCAATCAAACTACAGGCTATCATTTTTCCATTTTTGTTGCTTATGGAGGCACAGGGGATAACATATTTTGTGATTGAGGAATTGGGATGTCCAAAGTTTTCATCAGCCACATCAATTTGATCACTTGGACTTATCAGAGCTTTAGACATGTTAGACATTGCTTTGTTTGGTTTGAACACAGCATCAGGGCTTTTGATCCATGTAATAGGAAACCTTAAATGTTTCTCACTTTTGCTGATGGAGTCCGAAGATGGTTGGCTCCTTTGGAAGGTTTTAAATCTTGGTGTGGAACTTCCCTGAATAGTCACATGTTGATTCTTTCTAGGAGTGACTTCTACACTTGAGGGATTCCAGGATGTTTCATTTTTTGTTGTTGAAACACAACATGTTTGACTTTTATTGGGTTTGAAGATTTCATGATTGGGTGTTGGTGCTTTCCCACTTTTGACATCTGGACTTTCTCCTTGGTTAACACCTGTGTTGACTTCACCTGTGGTGACTTGTGACTTCAAAGGTATCTCACATATGTTGCTAGATATATATGATTGTTGATTCTTTTGTAAGTTGCTAATTTGAGCACTGGTACATGTAGTTGGGGTGTCCTTCATCTGTACAACTTGAAATTCTCTCCGCATCACTCCTCTAGTTGAGTTAAAGACAAAGGATTTCTGACTCTTGTTGTCGTTTGAGATTTCAGCACTACTAGGGAAGGGGTTTTCAAGTATATCAACTTCATCACTTTTTCTCCGAGCCCTGACTGATGAAGTCAGTGGTGTTGCTTGATGACCAAAGCTGAAGTTTGCTGGAACCTCCATAGTGTGCAACTGTTTCCTGGTTTCATATAAAACTGGGCTCCACTTCTCCTTATTATTTGAGTCAGGTTGATTTCTTTCAGGACTCATACATGGTAGAGATGGACCATAAGGTACACCCAGTTGGGGCGATGATGCCAATATGTCTTTCCTATCTTTGTTTTGTTGGACTGTTGGTGTATCTGTCGTTCTCTGGTGTCTAGTGTTTTCTAAGATCATGTGTGGTTGAGGAGTAGGTCTAGTTTTGAGCTCAGAAGGGTATTCACCTTCTGTATGACCCAGGGACTCTTGGAGACCTGCTTGACCCTCTGTAGTTATCTGGGGACCTACTTGACTCCTTTCATTAGAACCATTCAATGCTCCTATGGATGGATGCCCCTTTGTTGACTTCACCTGTCTGTTGTTATTACCATCTTTAGAGTGTTGCTTCTCAACTGATGCTACTCTTATGGCAGTTTTAGCCTTCTGTTTGGCTAGGATAGGTTTCAAAGTATCCATCAAACTAGCCATTGTTTCATGCAGCATTTGTTTCACAGATGTTGGAAGATCAATCGGGAAAAAGAAATCTGCACCAGGTGGACTTAAATACCCCAAAAGCTCAATTGCAGATAACTGGAACTCTTCAAGAGCTGCCTTATTTGACTCAGCACCAAGATAAGCCTGTTTCAGTCTCAACATATCAATCAGTTCTTCTTTGGCAATCTCATTGTTTGCATGGGCAACTGCCATATGCTGGTCCAGGGCTTCATCTAATGACATTGGGAGACCCATAGCAGAAATGGGACTAAGAATGTTTTCCATTATGCTGTTGAACCTCTGCACAGTTGAATGATTGAGGTTTGGATCATGGAGATGGGAAGAACCAGGGGGACTAAATAACTGCATGAGCTCCTTGGATTCTTTTCTAAACTTTGTCACCCTGTTTGGTGCCCAAGATGACAAGAGATTATACTTGATTTTCATCATCTCAAGTAGCTCAACCTTTGGAGATTCATTGTTTTCTCTTGCCTTGTACAGATATTCATCGACCTGATCAAGAAATTCACTTTCCTCTATGACGTCTTTGATATCCCAAGGTATGGCGTTGTCATGCTCTTCTGGGCTTCCATCCTCTATGGAGTCTGCCTGTTTACCCCTGATAACAGTTTGAACTAGTGATTTTGATATTTTGTCATTTTCTTGTATATTCTTGATGATACTCTGAGCACTAGCTTTGTCTGAATCAGAGAGATTTTCCCGGAGAAGTGAACAACACCCAGGTGGACTCAAACATGTCAACAGCTTCACAGATGACTTACGAAAACTTTTAGGATTTTTCCATGATGGTGTTTTCCCTGTTTCAACCAACTGACCATATTTCAGCTTTAGATTCTCCAAAAGTTCCACTTTGGCTTTGTTATTGGTTCGGTAAGCCTCCTTGATGTTCTTATCAACTATTATGAGAAACCTTCTGTCCACATCTTTACGTAGGGCATCATTTTGTTCAGTCACAGTTTTTGGAGATTTTGTTGTTGGATTAGTGTGAGTCACAAGTTTCCCTGTTGGTTTTGCTGTTGGATTAGTTTGAGTCACAAGTTTCCCTGTTGGTTTTGTTGTTGGATTAGTTTGAGTCATAAGTTTTCCTGTTGGTTTTGTTGTTGGATTAGTTTGAGTCATAAGCTTCCCTGTTGGTTTTGTTGTTGGATTAGTTTGAGTCACAAGTTTCCCTGTTGGTTTTGTTGTTGGATTAGTTTGAGTCATAAGTTTCCCTGTTGGTTTTGTTGTAGGTTTGCAAGTGGAGTCAGAAGACAAACCCGCCTCTTGTTTCTGTTTCTCTCTTAACTGGCTATCAAATATGTGGATGTTACCAGAGTGGTAACCTGCAAGCCTGGCTAGGTCCTTCACTGGACTCCTGGAACATTATTTCATACTCATCATGATATACCAAACAGGAAAAAATTCATATCACAAAATTGTATTAGGTTTCCCGGTCCCATCTAACAAGTTGATTTTTTCAAAGTATCAAGAAGGAAACAACTTATTACTGTATTATTAAACTATTGATATAAATGATAAACAAGATAGACAATAAATGATGAACAAGACGTAAATTTTGAGAGATTTTCATGGAGAATTGAAGTATTATTTGGGGTTTGGAAAAAACTCTATGTCATATTGTGTACCTTATGAAAGGACCATTCTTCAGATGAGGTGAATTGTATCCAACAGGTCGGCCCATAAACACCCAAAGTTCAGCCACAGTATGAAGTAGCAGGTTAGTGATATGTCTGTGGGACACCCTGTAAATACAAATAAATAATGAATAACAAAATATCTATTGTCCATTTATAATAGACATTCAGTAAATGCATGTAGTATAGATGGAAAATATATGGAAAAATGTACATTTAAATTATAATGGGAAACTATAGACAAATTGGATAAAAAGTATTACTTGTAATTAAGAAAATGGTTAATGATTTTAGGTTTTCAAAATAAAGGAAACTATGTTCTCATTCACATTATTAAAACAAGACACATGGTGAACAGGATTGTACCCTTGAATAGAATACGGTTTGGTTGGGAACCTGTAGACAAGCATTGACAAACAAAATTTTAGGACACAAAACCCAAAATGGCTGCCTTAACATTTACCCAGAATGCCCCAAAACTAATCCGTTCTAAACTTTCATCCGTAGAGAGGCCAAGAGACATCCCTGAAAACTTCCAATAAATCCATGAAAAGGTTTGGCTGGAAACCTGTAGACAAGCATTGACAAACAAGATTTTAATGATGGAAACTTTGCTTTCATATGTAGAAACATACCTGGAAATTTCAGATGAATCCATGAAAAGGTTTGGCTGGAAACCTGAAGACAAGCATTGACAAACAAGATTTTAATGACGGAAAATCCAAAATGGCCGCCTAAACATTTACCCAGAATGCCCCAAAACTAATCAGTTCTAAGCTTTCATATGTAGAAACATACCTGGAAATTTCAGATGAATCCATGAAAAGGTTTGACTGGAAAACTATAGACAAACTTGACAAACAAGATTTTAATGACAGAAAATCCAAAATGGTCACTTTAACATTTACCCCGATTGCCCAAAAATCAGTTCTAAACTTTTGTACGTAGAGACATAACTGAAAATTTCAGATGAATCCCTTAAACGGTTTGGTTGGAAACCTGTAGACAAGCCTCGACAGACAAGACTTCAGGATGGAAAATCCAAAATGGCCGTGCACCTTAAAATTAAATCAGATTGCCCAAAAACTAATCCGCTCTAAAGTTTCATACGCAGAAACATCCCTGAAAATTTCGGATGAATCCATAAAATGGTTTGGCTGGAAATCCGTAGACAAGCCTAGTGAGCCAAGATTCCATGATGGAAAATCTTAAATTGCCACCTTTATATTTACCCAGAATGACCAAAAAGTAATCAGTTCTAAACTTTCATCCGTAGAGACGTCCATGAAAATTTCTGATGAATCCCTGTAATGGTTTGGCTGGAAACCTGTGGACAAGATCGGGAGCCACCCATTGCCCTGCAAACTGATCACAATATAGCACCCAAGGATGCAATAAATATGCAAGAAACTTTGAACATCATAGAGTCAGTGCATGTTACTTACAAAAATCAAATGTTTACCTATCCCAGTGTGTTCCATCTCCTCTTCTACGGAATCCCTGCTTTCGGAAGAAGAAATTGAGATCCAGGATACGACAATTATAGTGAGACACAATTTTCTGGGCCCAAAGATTAGCCTGACTCACATCATTATTCAAGGACTTGCTGCGATGTTCAAGCTTCAAATAAATATAGGTCTTGATGAAATTCAGGCAGTATTAAACAGAGAGTAAGGTTAAGGGTGAACAGTTTCACATTTAACATTAAAAGATGGGATCCACTGTAAGGTTTATGTTAAACATTGATGTAGATAATCACAAGGTGAGAAGGTTCATTGACAGAGTGTGCCAGGTATCTAATCAACAGTTGGCTGAGCAACCATTTTTTAAAACAGGTTGGCCATAACAGAATGACTCGATTGGTAGTCAGTCTATATTTCCACTAAGTTGCATGATGGGACTCAAAATTTACTGATCACTTTACTTGGAAGAATGAATATTGTTGGAAAATCTTAAGTATTTTTTTAAAACTTTTTTTTGTCAAGTTTCATTGTAATTCGAGTCTACCTCTGGTGTAATGACTCCTCCCCTGCAACTCTCTGAAACAGGCAGAGCTGTGGCCCAAATGACAAGGGTATTACGTTGCAAGGCTCTATTCAATCCTTCCATCAGTGCTGTGAGATTGGTCCTATAGCCCTCCATATATCCAACACCATACCTACATTCAGAGTTTCTAATATAAACAAAAGTAGAGAATGACAACTGCTTTATATTACATAAAATTATGTCAAATCACTAGACATTTCGGACATTACATGATGGAAATAACCAGGAAGTAGTAATGTAGCACTGTCTCAATTTTGGCAAAATCTGCACCCATGATCACACCGGAATACCATAACGGTAAAGTCAGATACCGTTGTCACAAATGATGGCCACAGGTTCATATTCAATTTGATTTTCATTAACTGCATGTTTAATAGAGCACCTAGATTAAATTCCAATGGTACAACAATCAATCAAAGTGTCTTTCTACTCATCATATAGTTAAATATGTTCTACCATCTGAATAAAGTCTTTAATTTTACCGATCGAACTATGACAACATTTGATTGAATTTGGGATTTCATATGATACACCATCACAAGAGCTTAATACATCCACAAAATCAGCGATGATAAGGTCCCATGAAATGAGAATTAAGTGATTAAAGAGTTGAATCGATGGTTATGTTCGCCATTTGTGACAACGGTATTTGACTTTACTAATGTCCGGTGTGATGATGTCACATGGCACCAATTGGTATTTTGAGTGGCCTTTAGAAACTGACTGAGCAAATATCTATGTCCATAAGGCTTCAGCACAAAACATTTAAACCAAATCAAAGATAACATTTTTTAACAAATAATCTTAACCATTTTGAATAGAGTGGTCATCTCAAAAATTCATTCTTAGGTATTCCTTTTGAACCAAATCCTTCAATTGGTATTTGAATTATCAAAGATCACATTTTATAAAGGTGGCCATTTTGAAGAGTGCAGGCCATATTGAAAATGCCTTCTTGAGCATAGGTCCTTGCATGTAGAACAATAGCCTATAAAATTTGGACAAAATTCAATAGATGCTATTTAATTTTATAATGAAATGGTGGCCATTTTGAAATAAAGTGGCCAACTTGAGCAGGACTCCTATGTCTCTAAGACATCAGCATAGAAAATTTGAACCAAATCCGTCACCTGGTATTTTTGTTAAGAAAATGATGGTCATTTTGAACTGAGTGGCCATATTGAAAATTCCTTCTCGAGCAGAGGTCCTGTGCCCATACCTCGGCCATAAGGCATGTGTCTATAGAATTTGAACTAAATCACCAACTGGTATTTAAGTTATCGTATTTAAGTTATCACTTGGACACATGAACACACAGACAGCTTCTTTATATCCCTAACAGACTCTGTTCGGTGGGATAATGACAAAGTAATGGTGTGACTCAGAACATTAGGCTTTAAGGCTGCATTTCATTGTCCAATCTCAATCACTAAATGAGTTTCAAGTCAGTTGATCTATTATGTCTTGACTTATACCCAATTCACACATATGCTACATGATCACTCATATATATTGTACAATCACCAAATATCATGCTGTCTGAAAGAGTATACTGGCACACTTAATACTTACTGTAAGCTGTGACCTACCTCGTCATGTCCCAAAGACAGGAGTTTATGAGAATAAGATCAGGCTGGGGTCCAGATGCCAAGTCCTCTAGTATTGTCTCCATGTAGGCACTATAGGCACGTGTGATGAAATAGAATCTTATGATGAGATTCTGGGCTGTGTATTGCCGCACTTCTCTGTATGTGGGCTCATTTACCATCAAGCCAAGTTTACCACCTTCTATCAGTTCATCATTTTCAAATGAGAGCTCACCCTATGAAAACAAAAGCAAGTCTTAAAACAAGGCATTAACATGCAAAATGTCACAACTTGCCACAGACACCAACCACCAAATCATAAGATAAAAGGTCCAACTGTTTGATTTTTCAGATAATGTTTACTTTGGTAACTACATGGTGTCCCAAAAGTATGGGGGCCCCCCTAGGCAGACATATACCAATGACTTCATGGTATGTGTCATATATCAGTTTAAAGCTTATCAAAATTTACATTGATTTGCCAAGTATCATCGTTCAACTCACAAATGGTAAAAAGTTACAGGCATTTCAAAACTTAGTGTTTGGCCAAAAATATAGTTCATTTCAGTATCCTGGAAACAGCCCTGACCTGAATGTGACTGAAAATATGGGTGCTATTGTCGACAAAAGGATGGATATCAAGTTCTAAAAAGAGGAAGTTGAGGGTAGATACTCCAAGGAAACTCTTCTAGAATGCCTTCAAAAGGTTTTATGAGGATTACAAAATGCCAAATCCCTATTTGAAGCACGTTTAAGGTCATATATGGAAAGCAATGCTGCCGTTAACATGGCTTAAGGAGACACACCGACTATTATTTTTGTGTTAAACTGACTTTAATTTTGGCCAAACACTAAATTTTGAAATGCCTGTGACACTTGGCAGATCAATGTAACTTTAGATGATCTTTAAAATGATATATGACACATACTATGGAGGCATTGGTATATGTCTGGCTAGGGGGGGGCATACTTTCCGGACACCCTGTAAATTGATGTCACCAGGACAAACCACTTGAATCCCAGGTTCTAAAATTTGTTTGAAACCAGGGAATGTTTCACTTTTGCTAGTCTTTGACATTTTACTACATACATTACATATATAACAGGTGATGCTCAATTTAGTGAAATTAGCCAGCAGAGATCATTTCTACACATTTTAAAACATTTTTGGTGTAAATTGGATGAATAAAACTAGAGCAATTTTTGTGAAAAATTTTCAGACAGTTTTTCTCGTCACTCTAGATTTCAATGTCATTTCTAAGGTGACGAGAAATCTTGTCACTCAGGTAGTCTTTGCTTGATTGTCAAAGAGAGTTACAATTGTAGCCATAACTAGACTTGGGAAATTGAACGAAGTTCAATTTCAGACTCCAGATCTAGACTTTTTTTTAGCCGAGTCATCCAGAATAAGCCGAGTCATCCAAAATAAGCTGAGTCATCCAGAAAAAGATGGATGGATGGATGGATGAAAAAGGAAGGAAGGATAGGCTAGAATAGGAAGGGACGATAGGATAGAATAAGAAAGAATGATAGAATAGAATAGGAAGAAGGAATAGAATAGGAAGGATAGGAAGGAGAGGATAGGAAGGAGAGGATACGAAGGAAAGGTAGATAAGAAGGATACGATAGGATCACAAAGGAAGGATGGATGCATTTTTCAATATTTTCTTCTCTACTCTTGACTTTCTATCAGGATACCATCAGATCGATTTTTCTCGAAATTTCAAAACCCCATAATTTTCGAACCGGAAGTCTGATCGAAATTTGGTTTGCAGAGTCGGATTCCTGAGAAAATTCTGCCTTTAATTCATAACTCATATGTTAAATTTTGAGAACTTTTTATTTTGATCTACTTTTCGGACACCATATCTCAAAAGTGGGTCGAAATACTTTCTGACGGCAAAAAGCTAACACTATTAGCACACTCTTTCCCACCTGTATACAAAATTTTGAAGCAAATCTTATAAATATAGTGTCAGAATCGCAAAAATAAGGAAAAACTATGAATTTGACCTAGATTTTGACCTAGGGATTTTGGTGTCCAAATTTTGAAGTTAGGTAGCCTTCGAGGTCCCCTTCTTGCATAGGCTTTCATTATTTTAAGCTGTACTTAGTCTATATCTCGTATTTTACACTTCAAAAAAATCCTTTTTCCCATTGACATAACATGGGGCACCAAATTTAGCGATTTTTGAGCTTTCAAAATGTCATAACTTCCGAACCGGAAGTTGGATCAAAATTTGATTTGCAGATTCGGATTCCTGAGAAAATTCTATACTTAATTCATAACTCAAACGTTAAATTTGGAGAATTTTTTTATTTTGACCTACTTTTCGGACACCATATCTCAAAAGTGGGTCAAAATACTTTCTGACGGCAAAAGGCTAACACTATTAGCACACTCTTGGCAACATGTATACAAAATTTCGAAGAATATAATTAATCTGTAGTGTCAGAATCGCAAAAATAAGGGAAAACTTTGAATTTGACCTAGATTTTGACCTAGGCATTTTGGTGTCCAAATTTTTATGAAAAGAAGGTTTTGAGGTCCCTTTCTTTTATGGGCTTCCATTATGTTTAGCTGTGCTTAGTCTATATCTCGTACTTTACACTTCAAAAAAATTTTTTTTCCATTGAATTAACATGGGGCACCAAATTTAGCGATTTTTGAATTTTCAAAACGCCATAACTTCTGCACCGGAAGTCAGATCGAAATTTTGTTTTCAGATTCGGAATCCTGAGAAAATTTCCTATAAAACTGATATCCTGGACATTGGATTCGAAGAACTTTTTTTTGGACCTCGTTTTCGGACACTGATATCTCGAAATCGGTTTGAGATACCAAAAAACTAAATCACCCTAGATTTTCTACTTTTTTATGAGGAACACAATGAAAAAAAACCGGATCAAAAATATTGAAGGACGACCGAGAAAATCGAAAAAAGTGACAAAGTACTGGATTTGACCTAGTTCTTGACCTTTGACCTAGATAAAAATTTGACCCAATTTCCCACCAACTAGATACTGAACCTAAATGAACTGTATAATGGTCTTTACTGGATACCTTATAGTTATTGAAAAAACTCTTAAAGAAAAATAATAACTAGACTTTGGAAATTGAACGAAGTTCAATTTCAGACTCCAGATCTAGACTTTTTTAAGCCCAGTCATCTAAAATAAGCCGAGTCATCCAGAATAAGCTGAGTCATCCAGAATAAGATGGATGGATAAAATAGGAAGGTAGGATAGGATAGAATGGGAAGGAACGATAGGATAGAATAAGAAAGAAGAATAGGATAGAACAGAATATGAAGAAAGGATATGATAGGAGAGGAAAGGAAGGATAGGAAGGAAAGGATACGAAGGAAGGATAGATAGGAAGGATAGGATAGGATCAGATAGGTAGGATGGATGAATTTTTCAATATTTTCTTCTCTACTCTTGACTCTCTATCAGGATACCATCAGATCGATTTTCCGAAATTTCAAAACGCCATAACTTCCGAACCGGATTTAAAGTTTCGGATTCCTGACAAAATTCTACCCCTAATTCATAACTCATACGTTAAATTTGGCGAATTTTTATTTTGACCTACTTTTTGGATACGCCATTACTTCGGAACCGGAAGTCGGATCGAAATTTAGTTTGCAGACTCGAATTCCTGAGAAAATTCTACCCTTAATTCATAACTCATATGTTAAATTTGGAGAACTTTTTTTTTTACCTTCTTTTCGGACACCATATCTTAAAAGTGGGTCGAAATACTTTCTGACGGCAAAAGGCTAACACTATTAGCACACTCTTTCCCACCTGTATACAAAATTTTGAAGCAAATAATTTAAATATAGTGTCAGAATCGCAAAAATAAGGAAAAACTATGAATTTGACCAAGATTTTGACCTAGGGATTTTGGTGTCCAAAATTTGAAGTTGGGTAGCCTTCGAGGTCCCCTTCTTTCATAGGCTTTCATTATTTTAAGCTGTACTTAGTCTATATCTCGTATTTTACACTTCAAAAAAATCTTTTATCCCATTGACATAACATGGGGCACCAAATTTAGCGATTTTTGAGCTTTCAAAATGTCATAACTTCCGAACCGGAAGTCAGATCGAAATTTGGTTTGCAGATTCGGATTCCTGAGAAAATTCTATACTTAATTCATAACTCAAACGTTAAATTTGGAGAATTTTTTATTTTGACCTACTTTTCGGACACCATATCTCAAAAGTGGGTCAGAATACTTTCTGACGGCAAAAGGCTAACATTATTAGCACACTCTTGGCTACTTGTATACAAAATTTCGAAGAATATAATTAATCTGTAGTGTCAGAATCGCAAAAATAAGGAAAAACTTTGAATTTGACCTAGATTTTGACCTAGGCATTTTGGTGTCCAAATTTTTATGAAAAGAAGGTTTTGAGGTCCCTTTCTTCTATGGGCTTCCATTATGTTTAGCTGTGCTTAGTCTATATCTCGTATTTTACACTTCAAAAAAATATTTTTTCCCACCAAATTTAGCGATTTTTGAATTTTCAAAACGCCATAACTTCTGAACCGGAAGTCAGATTGAAATTTGATTTTCAGATTCGGAATCCTGAGAAAATTCTCTAAAAGACTGATATCCTGGACATTGGATTCGGAGAACTTTTTTTTGGACCTCGTTTTCGGACACTGATATCTCGAAATCGGTTTGAGATACCAAAAAACTAAATCGACCCTAGATTTTCTACTTTTTTATGAGGAACACAATGAAAAAAACCCGGATCCAAAATATTGAAGGACGACAGAGAAAATCGAAAAAAGTGACAAAGTACTGGATTTGACCTAGTTCTTGACCTTTGACCTAGATAAAAAATTGACCCAATTTCCCACCAACTAGATACTGAACCTAAATTAACTGTATTATGGTCCTTACTGGATACCTCATAGTTATTGAAAAAACTCCTAAAGAATAATAAGAATAACTAGATTTGTAAATTGAACAAAGTTCAATTTAAGACTCCAGATTGTTTGATTTGACCTAGATAGCTGAGTAAGTAGCCCAGTAAGAAGCTGTGTAGAAAGCTGAGTAAGTAGCTAAGTAGGTAGCTGAGTAAGTAGCTAAGTAGATAGCTGGGTAGTTATGTAGGAATTTTTGAAAGTATATTTCATCGATCTGCATTCTGGATACTGGCATAGAATCTTAACTGAAAGTCGGATTTCAATTTCGATTTCAGATTCAGATTCCTGAGAAAAT